GTCTCTTCTGTGCGCTCTCCTGTAGCCTATCTGGTCCATTTTCAGTAGCTCGCACGTCGCTTGTACGCCTGTCGCTGGGTGCAGTCGGCGAACATAGAGCTGGTCCTTAGCGTGCTGTATAGCCCGCGCCTGGACCCGCCCGTCAGCAGAACTCGTCATCATATCACAAGAATATATATGCTGCCATGGTGTGGTCTGCTGCGTCATATTGCCCAGGTGGGTCGAGTTGAGGGCACTGAGTATTCGATTGACAACCTTTTCTCACCATCTGCTTCCGATGAAGGCGCTGCCTACTTCGACCCGATCGCACTGACACAAGACCTGGTTGTAGAAAAAGTGGAACTGGAAGAACTGCATCACCGGTGCCGAAAGCAGAGGCCATATCAGAAACTGAAGGGGAACTCGATATGTGGCTTGACTTCGCTTCTTCACTCGGCTTCTCTGACCTAACAGCCCATTTCTCCGCCCCCCCAGTTCGGTACTCTCTGGCCCTCGAAGCCCCGACGGGTATAGAGACTGAGCAGTGCTTGCCTGGGGGAAGCCCCCCAGGCCGGCACCCTCTGGTCTCTGGTGCCCCGTCAGGTGGGAGAACTGAGCAGCGCGTGCCTGAGGGGACTCCTGTCACAACCTCACTCTGATACTGTCGCTGCTCTCCGCGAGCGTGCTGCTGCCCTCTGCCGCGCGACTCCTGGCGGATGGCCCTCGGGAGGCGTCGGCCCCCCGAGCCACTCCTCGGCGCTCCTCGTCCGCGGCCCTTGTCTCCCTTATCATTGCCGCTCTGCCGCCGTCGTAGTTCTGAAGCCACCCGTTCCGCTCGCTGGCGTTCCATCTTGCTGTGCGTCGTCGCCTCCGTGATGAGCCAGCCCGGCGCGATATCCACTCCACTGCCTGGGGTGTAGCTGCTCGTAGTCTAGCTGCCCCTGCCTTGCCGCGCGCCCTCGACTCGTATGCGAACGCCGACAGATGCCGCAGCCCGATCTCCACATTGTCGTTCGTGTTGAGGCATATCATCAGATCCTGATCTGATGCGCACTTACCCAGCTCGAAGTCGAGAGTCGCCGCTGTGCTCCACAGGGACTGCCACTGCTCCCCTCCACGATATCCCTGGAACTGTTGCTGAAGCCAATGTCGAATACTCGTGCTACCTGCCGCCCGTATGTTCCGATAGATCCCCACCCCCGCCCGTTTGAAGTCAGGCGGCAGCGCGTGGGCCCAGGAGTCGACCTCTGCTCCGCCCGTCGCGGCGGCCGCCCCGAACGTCCCGTCGAAGGAGGTCGTCGCCCCCAGGCTCTCGAATCCCGTGAGGGCCACCTCCAAGGACTTCACATCGGGCGGCGAGAGCGTTCCTGCTCCCACGTAACCTCGAGCAGCGAGGGCTGCTCGCACTGCGGGGTCCAAGGTCCCCGCCTTCTCGAGCTCGGCCACGCGGTGCCGGAACTTCCAACCGCACCGCGGGTCGGCGCTCGCTCCGGCGCGCAGCGACGTCAGCACCTCCTTGAGCCCGATCGCACATGCCGCAGCCGACGTCGACGCCTGCGCGCCAGGCCCTCCTGGGCCCATCGCGGGCACTCCTGTGGCAGGAGGGCCCGCCACGGCTGCGGCCGCCGCGGAGGGGGCAGCTGCTGCCGCAGGCGGCGCCGCCATGCCGCGCGGGGCCGCAGACCACGTCAGCGGGCCCGCGTCGCCCCCCCCCCCCCCCCCCCGCACTCAAGGCGTGGAACGCGTCCATGGCGGGGTCCACGCTGGGGGGTGACGAACGCCGAGGCCGCAGGCTGAGCCACTCCTGGCGGGGGCGCACTGGGCGGTGGAAACGCAGGGGGCCCAGGCGCGCCGCCGCTCCCCGCTGCGGCAGCGCCGCCACCCCCCGCCGTGCCCAGCGTCAGGCTCGCCAGCTGGGCTCGGAGGGCCCCCACCTCGGCCTGCTGCCCTGGCGCCGCGCGCCGCCAGCTTCGCACCCTCAGCACGGCCAGCCAGGCGCCCGCCCACAAGGCCAGGGCACCGCCTAGGCTCATTCGCATCAGGCTGCCGCGGCCAGTCTCTGCACGTCCTGCCGCCAGGGCAATCAGCAGCCCGACGCGGCCCAGCGCCCGCGGCGCGATCCACTCGTAGAAGGTCGAGACGTGGGTCGTCTCACGCCCCGCGGCGCTCTCGGCGCTGCCTGCCTCCGAAGGCGGCGGAGGGCCATCAGTGCGTGGTGGGCGTCGATAACCTTCCTGGATGGGCACCGCGCGCTTGGCCCCTTAGGCCGCCACCGTCACGGTTGACCCGAAAAGTTGCAGAGGCGCGCTTGCTGTTGGAGAGCATTGCTGGACCAACACTATACAGTAATACCCGCTCGAAGACTTTCACTTCGTCAGTAATATAACATCATATTATATCATACATTATTACAGCATATTACATAATATAATGCAATATAATATACGATAACACAATAGAACATAACATAATGTAATATAATTTTATAACATGTAATAAGAATATATATAGTAACCCATATTATAATATAATGTAATGGAATGTATAATGTAATATGTGACATATTTTATAATACATATAAAATCAATTTTTATAGTAAACATAATACAATATAACCTAATATGATGTGGTATGATTTGGTATAATGTACGATGGTACAATGTATTATGGTATACTATAATATAATACGACATAATATATTATAATATAGTATACTTTAATATAATACGATATGATATGCTATCATATACTATAATAAAATAGGTCATACTAGTCCACCATATACGATAATATAATAAAGCATGATTTAAAATAATTTACTTCAAAATAAAATAATACAATATAGTTTCATATAATATATTGTGATATGACATACGACAGTATAATATAATTTAATAGCATATAAGATACTATAATATAATATAATATAATATAATATAATATAATATAATATAATATAGGTGTAAGGCATGCGTGCATGTACGTATGTTTATAGGGCCGCTGGGGGGTAAAGAAAAACATCTCCCGAAACTGAGCAAAGTTGGAAGTTACAAGAGATTGGAGAGTTAGCTACATGATGACAAAACAAATGTTTAGCCAAACCGACCTAGTTTTTACCAAAAAAAATGGAACAGTTTTCTCGGTGACCTAAAAAAAGCTGTCTCGGAATTCCTTTTCGGCTCGCCAGGGCGCCCCCCAGGCCCGCCGGCGGGCCGCCTGGGTTCGCCGGGCCCCCCCCCGGCCGGGCCCGCCGGCGGCGTGCCGGAGGAAACTTCCGGGCCGACGATAAAAAACGCCCCGGCGCGACCGGCCCCGAACGCGCGACGCGCGCCAACGCGGCCAGGCCCGGCGCGAGCGAGGGGCGGGGAGGAGGAGGAGGCAGATGAGGAGGAGGAGGACGGGGGAAGGGGAGGAGGAGGAGGAGGAGGGATGGGGGCGAGCAGGAGGAGGAGAGGGCGCGGGCGACAGAGGAAGACAACGACGACGACGACGAAGGGGGCGGGAAAGGCGGGCGAGGGGTTCGCGGCGGGAGAAAGCGCCGCCGCGGCACGGCGAGACTGGCGCGCGACGGGTAGAAGGGGGGGGAGGTCGGGAGAAAGAGGAGGAGGAGGAGGAGGAGGAGGAGGAGGAGGAGGAGGAGGAGGAGGACGAGGACGAGGACGAGGACGAGGACGAGGACGAAGAGGACGAGGAGGGGCCGAGACGATGCAGGGGAAGGCTGGTGATGGGCTCGAGGAGGAGAAGGTGGAAGAGGCATCATTGGGGTGCGTCGCGTGCAAAACCGCGCCGCGACCATCGCCGCGGCGTCGCGTGCAGAACCCGCGCGGCACTCCTTATGGATTTACTGGCGCGCGGGGCCGTGGTTTGATTCGGCGCGTCGCCGCCGCGGGTTCGACGTCGCCAGTCGCGCGCGCGCGTTCCCATCGCTTCGGAAGCTAAGCAAAAGCTAGTTTAAGCTATCTCGGACAGCTATTTTTCACACCTTTTCCTATCTCAGATTGTTGTCTTGACCCTCGGCTGTCCTCTGCCATCTGGCGTCGCAAGGCAGAGGGAGAGAGAACGGATTGGAAAGGGGCCAGGGGGAGGGAAGAGGATGGAACACGAGAGAAAGAGAAAGAGAGAAAGAGAGATAGAGAGAGAGAGAGAGAGAGAGAGAGAGAAAGTGGCAGGATGGGGCCCAGGAGCAAAAATCCCGCGGCGGAACCCGACGGGCAGATCGGGCGGGTAGACTTTAGCGGGGGGGGGTCGGGGAGGCGGGCCCAGGCGGCCAGGTCGAGCACACGGGACGCTGACGCGCCCGTCTTGCATGAATCGTGAGGAAGTCTCGAGCGATCGCGCGATTCCCAAGCAAATCATTTTGATCTCCACAGCGAGAGCGTGGTTCTTGAATGTCGAGGGCGCGGCGTTTGAATAAATGGCGAGGAACTCTCACGCGAGGGTGCGATTTGTGTATACATAGTGAGAACGTCCCGCGCGAGAGCGCGATTTGGGAATATATTGTGAGGAAGTATATGGCGGGAGCCGTCGTTGTTGTTTGTGCCCCGCTGTCGCCCTTCGTGGCCCCCTTCCTGCCGTTCGTGGCCCCGTGGTCGCTCTCGCTCTCGCTGTCGCTCGTCGTCGCCGTCGTCGTCGCCGTCGTCGCCGCCGTCGTGGTCGGTCACCTGTCCGTCCCACTTGGGGTCGGGCTGCCGCCGATGATCGCTTCCGCTGGCCAGGCCGACGGTCCGCGGCCGCCCCGCCGCCTTGCGGGGGCCGGGCCTGCAAGGAAGAAATATATACCTTCCAAAAGGGGTACGGAAACGAAAAGGGTATGTGCCGCACTCTTCTCGAGCGCGCAGGCGTTCAAGGGCGCCGTACTTCGCGCGCTGTGCAGCCTCACGTGCGATCGCGCACGCGCAGACGCTGATCGTGGGACCCCTCGGTGGAGGAAAAAGAGGAGAAGGAACAGGAGTAGCATGTGCAAATTAAGCAGTACGGCTTGCAAAGTGTTGGGGCGCGCAAAAGCACAGCCATTCTGATAGGATTTGGAGCAACTCAGCGACAGCGACCACTCCGACGCAGTGTCCGACGTCGACGAGGCCTTCGACTTGATATGATGTTCTGCTGTGCCTCCCGTTGCGCTGCCGCGCACATGCACCACCGCACTCGGGGGCACGGTCGTGGTTTCGGTATGTTTGCGTGGTTGTGTGGCGTGGAATCTCGGTGGGAGGCCCTTCTGGCGCCCTCGCAGCTCCTACATAATTGCCATCTACACCGCCTGCTTTTCGAGGATGCAGTTGGCATCATGCGATGCACCTTGAATTTTGTGGTGGCAGTTCTAAGCAAGTGGAATCGGGGGGGCACCATGTGAGACCAAGTATCAAAGTACATGCAATCATGTGGGAGCATGTGTGGACATCACCACCAAGGGGATGATGGAGAGCGAACGTTAGAAAGACGGAGGATGTGGATGAAAAGAACGAACAAGGAACGAAGAGGAGGGACGAAGGAGCGAGGGAGAGATGCTGCAGGAGGAATGGAGCATCGAGAGAAGGATTCATGAGGCAATAGGGTCAGGAGGAGCACCGCGAGGTATAGGGAGAGGAGGAGGTGGACGAGGAGGAGGAGGAGAAGGAGGACTTGCAGGAGGAGGAGTTGGAGGAGCATCGGAAGCAGGAGGGATGCGCAGGAGGGACAGGATGGACGATGCATGAGATGAGGGGCCGTGGAGGCCCCTCCCCCTCCCCCACACAGTCCCCAAGGATGACTCAGGCGGGCAAGCAACTAACTTTGGATTCGGCTTGTTCGTCGTTTCCGTCGCCGGCGACGGCGAAGGAGAGCGACCCCCTATTTGCGATGGCTACCGTTGTCATGCAAATGTCTGCGCGCATTTCACGCGACCGACGCAACACGAACGCAACACGAAAGTACGATTTCGTGTTGGATGTCTGCCACATGAGCCGTTTTCCTGACCTCGAATGATGTGACTTGGCATCGCTCGGACGTGTGTGTTCTTCTCGACGCGGCCAGCGCCAGAAAATCCGGACCATCTCGGAGCATCTTGGATCATTGTGAGAAACAAGCATGCGCCAAACCATAGAATGCACGGGGAATGCGGGCATCCGAGCGATGGCACGGTGAGCAGATGAGCGACGCAGAAAAACAGGGGCGTCTTCACCGACGCGTGCGCTCAAGCTTCCCGAGTGGGGCCGCACGTAAGGGTCTTCGCTTCCGGAGTGGCGTTTCGCGCTGGCGGCCCGCGCAAGCCACCGCGTAAGGTCGCTATGCTATCTCGCGTGATCTTGGAGGTGGATAGACCTCCTGCCCTGACACGTCGACTGAGGAATATGCCTTTTTCGGTTCGCGAGTTGGCGTCGCGGCTGTCATTTTTGCGGGTCCAGGTCCGTCGGTTTCGGTCCCAGGCTGTTTTCACTAAGGGGAGGTTTACTAAAGGGAGGTTTGTCCACCGCCGATCATCGCTCAGGTGTAAACGGAATTCAGAGGAGGGCAAGGTACCGATGGTGTTTTTTGTGCCATAGTTTCCCCCGTTTTGGGCGTCCTTGGAGACCCTCTTCGCCACCGTCGGATTCGCCTCGAAATCCTGGTCGGAACGCACCCCGGGAGAGGTCTGGGAAGTAGCGGCATCGGTACCTTTCGCCCCCCCACCCCCCCCAGAAAGCGGGCGTTTTGATCAACGAGTGCTCATGTGCACTGCGAAGGCACGAGTGCTATTCTGTTAACCGCGATAGGGGGCGCGAAGTTATTCTCGCTTCGCGGTTCGGCTCCGATTCTTCCTCATCCTCCTCTTCTCCCCTGGGAGGCAGCGCGAGAGCGCGAAGTTGTTCGCACTTCGCGCTTCGCGCAGCCCGAAGCGCGAAGTTGCGAGCCCTTGGTTTTGATCCACGAGTGCTCGTGCGAACTGCGAATGCGTCCTCCTTGGATGCCGCGGGGCCTGGCCGTGGTGGTCGCCTGGAGTGCCGCCCGCTCCCAGTAGCCTCTGCGGCCGTCCTGCCCTGCCCGGGTCGGACGAGAGGGGGGCGGGGGGGCGATCGGGCCAAGAGGCCCAGGGAGGCACAGTGCACCTGAGAAAAACCAGCGTTTCGCTCGAGACATCCTCAACGAATTCTTAAACACAAGCGTTTCGCTCGAGACATCCTCAAACTTTCATTCGCCGTTCCTACGCGACCTCGTTATCTATCGCAACAGAAGTTCGCCGGCTTTACAGCCGTCAAAACCGGGGGGAAACAAATTACACCTGAGAAAACCCCGATCAGGGGATGATCTGAAAATTAGTCATATGGATCGGTTGTCAGATCGATGATGAGATCGATAGTTGAATCGATAGAGGACGGTTGTAAGGTCGATCGTGAGACCGAGAGTGAAATCGATTCAATGAGATCGATAGGGAGATCGATCGCGAGATCGCTGGTGCGATCTCTAGTGAGATCGCTTGCGAGATCGATTGTGAGATCGATTGTGAGATCGATGATGAGATCGATAGAGAGGTGGGAAATGAGATCGATGCTGAGACCGATCGATAAGAAGATCGACCAGTAACCCGAGAACCTGGGAACATCGCCGCCCACCGAAATCGGCCCGGGAACCCGGAACCTGGGAACCCGGAACCGAGAACCCAGGAACCCAGCGTGCGACCAAAATCGGCGGGAAATGTTCGCCAAATCCTTCAACCTCCGTTATGACCCCTTCAGTGCAAGCACTGATTGGGGAAAATAGATAGGCACAGTTCCAGGATCCCTTATACTTGTTCTATGCTCTGGATGTTCGTCGCTCCCTCCGTTTCTTGCATTTTCCAGCCTTTTCTTAGGCAGTGGCGTATGCGTTTATTTGTGTCTGTGTCGATTCCTCCCTCCCGATTGGTCAGAGGAGGAGAAGATATCAATGCAGCTGCTCGTGATGGAAAGCCCTGGTCGCCACGGCCGGAGTCTCTGCGAAATTCTGGTCGGAACGCTCCCCAAGAGGGGGCCGTGGAGTACGGCAGGTTCGCGCCGCGTTGACGCGGCGGCGGCCCCAGGCGCGGACGTTCGAGGTGGAACGCCGCCGGTGGCCCAGAATCGGCCGATGTCGAGCGAGGTGCGCCATCGGAGAGCCGCCGTCGTTCCAGGTCGAACGATGTACGCGGTGTCAGAGACCAACGCCGACGTCATCGCGACGCGAATCTGCCGTGGCGGTATCGGGAGCCCAGAACCCCGACGTCGTGATTTCTTCACACCGTCGACCCCCAGAGGTCTGTACCCCATCCCCTGGACCAATTTTTCGCCTTGAGTAGTTCCCAACCATCCTGGGTGTTGGGTCCTCTTTTTGAAGAAACAGCGCCCCGCGCTTTCCTTGCTCCTTCCTTCCCCTTCCCCTCCTCCCACCCCTCCTCCTCCTCACCCTCCTCCCCCTCCTCTCCTCACCCCCCTCCTCACATGTTTTGTGGCCCCATAGGGAGCTCCACCGACGGTCCCAGTGGCGCAGTTCGCATGCGTCTCCCCCCCAGTACAGCGTTCCGTGGCCCCATACGGAGCTCCACCGAAGGTCCCAGTGGCGCAGTTCGCACGCGTCTCCCCCGCCCACTACAGCGCTTCGTGGTCCCATAAGGAGCTCCACCGAAGGTCCCAGTGGCGCAGTTTGCATGCTTCCCCCCCGCCCAGCACAGCGTTTCGTGGCCCCAGATGGAGCTCCACCGACGGTCCCAGTGGCGCAGCTCGCATGCGTCACCCCCGCCCAGCACAGCGTTCCGTGGCCCCAGATGGAGCTCCACCGTCTCGTGGCCCCATAGGGACCTCCAAACGGAGGTCCCAGTTGTGCAGTTCGCATGCGTCTCCCCGACCCAGTACAGCGCTTCGTGGCCCCATAGGGAGCTCCAGCGAAGGTCCTAGTGGCGCACTTCGCAAGCGTCCCCCCCACCCCACCCACCCAGCACAGCGCTTCGTGGCCCCATTGAGAGCTCCACCGACGGTCCCAGTGGCGCAGTTCGCAGGCGTCTCCCCCCCCCAGTACAGCGGTTCGCTGCCCCATAGGGAGTTCCACCGAAGGTCCCAGTGGCACGGTTTGTATGTGTCTCCTTCACCCAGCACAGCGTTTCATGGCCCATAGAGAGCTCCACCGAAGGTCCCAGTGGCGCAGTTCGCATGCGTCCCCCCCGCCCAGCACAGCGCTTCGTTGTCCAATGGGGAGCTCCGCCGAAGGCCTCAGTGGCAAAGTTCGCATGCGTCTCCCCCACCCAGCATATTTTTTGTGGTCCCATAAGAAGCTCCACCGAAGGTCCCAGTGGCGCAGTTCGCATGCGTCTCCCCCACCCAGCACAGCGTCTCGTGGCCCCAGAGGGACCTCCACCCGAGGTCCCAGTGGTGCAATTCGCATGCGTTTCCCCCTACGCAGTACAGCGCCTCGTGGCCCCATTCGAAGCTCCACCGAAGGTCCCAGTGGCGCAGTTTGCATGCGTCCCCTCCACCCAGCGCAGCGTTTCGTGGCCCCAGATGGAGCTCCACCGACGGTCCAGCGGCGTAGTTCTCATCCGTCTCCCCCCACCCAGTGCAACGTTCCGTGGCCCCGGAGGGACCTCCATCGAAGGTCCAAGTGGCGCAGTTCGCACGCGTCCCCACCCACCCAGCACAGCGTTTCGTGGCCCCATATGGAGCTCCGAAGGTCCCAGTGGCGCAGTTGGCATGCGTCTCCCCCACCCAGCACAGCGCTTCGTGGCCCCAGAAGGACCTCCACCGAAGGTCAAAGTGGCACAGTTCGCATGTGTCTCCTCTACCCAGAAGAGCGCTATGTGGCCCAATGGGAGGCTCCACCGAAGGTCCCAGTGGCGCAGTTCGCATGCGTTTTCACCGCCCATTACAGCGCTTCGTGGCCCCAGAGGGACCTCCAAACGGAGGTCCCAGTGGTGCAGTTCGAAGGCGTCTCCCCCCCCAGTACAGCGCTTCGTGGCCCCATAGGGAGCTCCACCGAAGGTCCCAGTGGCGCACTTCGCATGCGTCTCCCGCATCCAGCACAGCGCCTCGTGGCCCCATTCGGAGCTCCACCGAAGGTCCAAGTGGCGCACTTCGCATGCGTCCCCCCCCCCACCCACCCAGCACAGCGTTTCGTGGCCCCATAAGAAGCTCCACCGAAGGTCCCAGTGGCGCAGTTCGCACGCGTCCCCCCCGCCCAGCACAGCGCTTCGTGGCCCAATAGGGAGCCCCACCGAAGGTCAAAGTGGCGCAGTTCGCATGCGTCCCCCCCCGCCCAGTACAGCGTTTCGTTGTCCAATGTGGGGCTCCACCGAAGGCCCCAGTGGCGCAGTTCGCATGCGTCTCCCCCGCCCAGCATAGCATTTCGTGACCCATAGGGAGCTCCAACGAAGACGACATCTTCAATTGCAGCACCCACCACTGCATATGGTTGGGTTCTTCGTCAGGCTAATTGTTTGACAGTTCCGAGGCCCAGGAGGGGCCCCCAGATGCCGAAAATTAAAAAACCGCCCGCCGTGATTGTTGTTACAATGCGAGGGGGGTTGGAAGCTTTTGGCCCTCCCAGGATTGGGAAAGGAGGGGCTCGACGCTTGCCGCATGCAGCTGGTTTCGGCGCCGCCGCCACGCGCCCCCCCTCGATACATCGGCCCCTCCGGCGTCAGAGGTGCTGGGAACATCGGCTGCGCGAGCTGATCCGTGAAGTCCCCCTGTGCTCGGGACGATCGACACGGGTACACATAGTTCATGTCTACGTATTCGAAAGTTCTTTCATTTTTTAGGGGCCAAGATCCTTTCATCTCTAATTGTTCTATCCTGGGCCTCTTCCTGGCCACTGGGGTGTCAGGAACAATTAGAAACGACCACAGTTAGAAATGAGCACGATTAGAAATGAACGACGCGTGTGGACGCGATGGATGCAAAGTCCAACATAATTTCCTGCTCATTTTGAGCTCTCTGACTCTGGCTCCCGTTTCCGACTCCTGCCCCCAACACGTCTCTTGAGGGCTCTGGCCCCCCCGCGCTGCCCTCTGAGAGCCGGTCCCGCCGGACCGACATCGCGCGCTCGCCTCCTTGTCATTTTGAACAGGACTCGCTGACGGCGTTGCCAGGGTCTTTGTCAATTCGAGGCAGAAAGCCGCATGCCCAGCAGCGGGCGCTGTTTGTTTTGGACAACATGTGTGGTTGGGCATCGTGCCCATTGTTTCCGTGCCCATTGCGGGCGTCCACACCCTTTCGTTGACCCCCCTTTTCGCCCGCCCTGGCCTCATGACCTTGGCCTCTCGAGCCCCCCGACGACGGCGCCGAGGCGTCCCTGCCCCCATGCGTCAACTGTTTGGATCCTGGACCCTTTGTGGAGCGCAGCCGAGCAGACTTCGCGCTGAAAGAGCGCTGGAGACCGCTGGAAACCGTCTCAAAGACCGTCCGAAGACCGCCGACGACCGCCGAGCATCACCCGAAGGCCGAAGACGGCCCAGCAAAGATGGATATAAGGGGTCCATGACCGAACGCGTACAGTGGAGACCCATGCCAAGAAACACCCTGCTTGCCTCCAGGGTGCCCTGGTTTTCTTGGGCCTCGATGGTTCTGCGATGAGGAGCGTGACGTTCCCACACGGCAGATCAGTGGACGTCCTGGGGTCTTGGGGTTGGGTTTCTTGTGGAAGGTTTCTTGTGGTCGAGCCCCTGCTGGAACAAGGGGTCCATGGTCGAACGCGCAAGCAGCGAGGGGTCCTGGCAGAAACGGCGCCGCCACGGCTCCAGCTCCGCCCGCCACCGCCTCGGCGCGCGCGTGCGCCCCGGTCGGGCCGTCCCCGCGACGCCGCCACCCCGTCGGCGGCGAGCGAAGGGGGAAGTGAGAAGGGGCGGGCCTTCTCAAAAGGCTCGGAAGCCCCCCCGCTGTCTCAAAAGGCTCAGAAGCCCCCCTGCCTTCGGAGAAGTGTTCTAGGCCTTCCCGAAGACACAGAAAGCTTCTCGGAAGGCGCAAGGGCTTCTGAGGAGCTCCGCCGCCTTCTGAGGAGGCCTTCCTCCCTTGCTCGCCGCCGAACCCCGTCGGTTCGGCAGGCGGCCCTTTGGTCATGCAGCCTCCCATGGGCGACCCCACCCAGCACAGCAACATGGCCGCGCTGATGTGGCAGATGCAGATGGCCGGAGGGCTGGCCGGAGGCCGGGGGGAAGAGAAAGCGGTACCACCACCAGGGGTGGCAGCGCCGGCGGGGAGCTCCACGGTGCCCCCCCGAGCTTCGCAGAAGAAAACACGCCAGAAACATCAAAGTTTGGCGCTCCGCGCGGATTTCTTGGCTCCGCGCCTGGGACCCCCCCCCCCCCGGCGGCGCCTCCGGCGCCGCCCCTGGCGCGCTCCGCGCGCCAGGGAGGGGGGCCCAGCGCGAATCCAAGAAGTCCGCGCGGAGCGCCAAAAGTTTTTGGCGTCTTCTGGAGCGTTTTTTGTATTCTGGAGTTGGCGAGGGGGGATGCCTCGAGCGGGGAGTGCGGGCCCCGTCATCGGGGAGGACCCCCCATGGCCCCTCGCGCTGGTGGCGGCGCCTCTTTTGTCCTTGCTCCTGCGGAGGTGATGGGTCTGTTTTCCACCACCACCACCATAAGTTGGAGTGGCAGGGGGTCCTCCTCCTCCTCCTCCTCCTCCTCCTTCTCCTCCTCTCCTCGTCCTCCACCTCCTTCCCCCCTCCAACTTATGGTGGTGGTGGTGGAAAACAGGCCCATCAGGAGGGGCCCAGAACCCCATGATGCCCCCGATGCCGTGGCCCCCGGTCATGCCGCCGCTCTCGCCCCTGCTGCACGTGCGCGTCGACGGCCTGACGTTCGAGTACCAACTCACCGAGGACGACGTGCGCAAGGTCTTCTCCCGGTACGGCGACGTCGTCCAGGTGCACGCAGCCCCAGCGTGGCCGGGGGCTCATTGTGACTCCTCCGACTCGATTCGATTTCGATGGATTCCCATTCCTATTCGATTCGCCTTGGGATTCCGATTTGGATTCTGCTTTCTCAATGGAGGCCTTACTGGCCTGTTTTTTCCCACCGATTCGACTTCTCCCGGCTTGGCTGCCCATGTCCGCCGATCCGATTCCTTTTGATCGCCGATCCGACTCATCGACTTGATTATGGACTCTCAAGCGTGGCAGGGAGGGGGAGGGTCCCTTAGACGACTGCTGAACCCCTACTGGACAGCGCTTGGCATTCTACCACGCCTCGTCGTGACAGGGGTCTCGGCGGCGGAGTCTTCGGGTACGGCGATGTCGTCCAGGTGTCAGCGCCCCCGTGATGGGGGCTCCGCTAATGGGCACTTTGGCCAGCGACCCGGCGATCGCGGTGTTGCAGTTCCCGAGGGTGGCCCTGAAGTGGCAGCTGTGGGTTGGCTTCCAAAGCATCCATCAGTGAGCACCCATTGCGGTGCCGCTGCAGGTGCATGTCGACGCCGAGGGGACCACGGCCCAAGTGCAGCTCGGGCAGCCGCACCAGGCGGTCGCCGCCAAGCACGACCTGGACAAGAAAGATCTCGCGGGCATGTCTGGGGCCTTCCTGCGTGTTGACTTCGTGGGCCAGGGCCCTTACGATTCCATGCTCAACCAGATGGCAAACCCCTACGGCATGCCGGCGATACCGCCCATGCCTGGGATGGGCGGCACCATGCCCGGCTTCTCCGGAATGCCCCCGATGCAGGCTGGGGCCTCGCCAGCCAGCGCCGCCGGGCGCCCGAAGAAGTACACGTGCAAGCTCGAGGTGGGCATCGAGAATGAGGGAGAGTTCCGGGTCGGCAGCCGCGTCATCCAGATCGCACGCGCCATTTGGCAGGAAGCCAGGTTTCAGGAACACGGCGGGAAGACGCGACTGAGGGGAAAGGGCATCGGCGGGCAGCACGAGGCCGATGAGCCGTTGGCTCTGTGCATCTCGTGCTGCGACCAGACCGCCTTCGACAAGGCAGTCCAATACGCCGAGGCCCAGCTCCAGAAGGTCCACAACGACTACAGGTCCCACTGCGCGGAGAAGGGGCGGCCCGTTCCCGAGCTGTCTGTGAAGGTCTCCAAGAGGGGCTCCACGTTCTTCAACGGCGGCGGTGGCGGCGGCCAGACTGCCCCCTCGCTGGAGTCCAGCGCGGACATCGCGCGCGGCGAGAGGCCTCCAGGGGCGCCGACCGACGAGGAGATCGAGCGCCTGATCGAGGAGCGCAACGAGGCTCGGAAGGTGGCGAACTTCAAGAAGGCCGACGAGGTGAGGGCGACGCTGAAGAACCTGGGCGTCGTCCTCATGGACGAGAAGGTCGGGGCGGGCGAGTGCCAGGTCACCCGCGGGGGCGCGAAGATGGTCGCCCTCCACGCGCCGCGGCTTGGGCCAGAGATGCGCCGGTTTTCCAGGGCGGCGGCGCGAGGGTGCGAAGATAGCCGCGCGTCGCGCGTCGTGGGGCGAGATTCGCGAAGCCAGGTGACCTGTCAGAAGGGGGGAAAAACACACAGACACAATGAATCGTCGATTCCCCAGAAAATATAGGAAAATATGGGAAGTGGGGGGAAGAAAGGAAGCCAGAAAATATGGGAAAATGTTGGGAATCCTGTTATTTATCGCTTCGCTCATTCCGCCGGCCCTGGAGCGCTATTTGGGGCCTCTTGGGGCCGTCTTGGGGGCCTTTTGGGGGCTTCTTGGGAGCGTCTTGGGGCTCCTTGGCAGCGTCTTGGGCTCCCCCGGGGCCTCTTAGGGGGCTCTTGGGGGCCCCTTGGGGCGGGGGGGTGAAGTCGATTGCAGCCACCCCCTCGGAGGCCACGATCCTCCTGAGGGGTGGCGAAAAATAGCCTCCCCCCTGGGGATCGCCCAGGACCCGGTCGGGACCCGGCCTGGGATCGGCCGGGGGATTTTTCGTCCGGGGGCCCCCAGGGGCCGCCCCGCGCGCGCGAACTAGAAATGTTGTTAAGTAGTTACCGGAGATCTTAGCACGCCTCTGGCCCGTTGGGTCGGCGAATTTGTGTCCATCTATTTGTGTGTCCCAAGGCCTCTTCAACCTGGGCATGGGGGTATTTGGGGGGCGAAAGTTGCTGTATTTGGCTGCTTTCAACCGCGGCGCCGTTCGCCGATCCTCGATACCTCGGCGCCACCGCCGCCCGGCAAGGCAGCCATGCGTGAGCAAAGTCGTTGACACCCATTTTGCGACCCAAGGGAGCCAAGGGTAACTTCAACGGTAACGAGGTCACCAAGTGGCGCTTCTGGAAGCCATGACGCCATCAACCATCGACGCGAAGAGGGCTCGTGACAATCAGCGGCGCGGTTGCATGTATATACCTTTGTCGCAGACAGTTGCAAGGACATTCGACCGCGCACGCCGCAAGCAGGGTAGGTGAGCACGGTGCATGTGCATGGTGCATGAGACTGATGTAGAGTGCATGTGCGTAGTCAGTCTGTCCCCAGTGCAGACGTTCCAGAATCTCAGTGCCTCTGGAGGCACAGCTATTCATTGACGCCACAAGGAGGTAGATGCTTCGCAGGTGTGGAGCTTTTTGATCTTGCTCGTAGATGTTCTGTAATTTCGACCTGTCGACGTGAGTGTAATCATCACTCGCTGGCAGGCGGACATCTCGCGATCCCAACCCCGCAGCGCAGATCTTGCGCTGCCCGGGGCGCGCCTTGACGCAATCGGTGGTGATGGAGGTGGGGAGTATCCGGCCCTTGCCAAGTCTGCAGGGATAGTTTCTGCACGAACGAAACGGGCACGGAACGAATGGGTACAATGCCCAACAGCAGTTCTTGTTTATTTTGAACAGGACTCGCTGTCCACGCCGCCGCGGCCTGTGTCCATTCGAGACAGACGCCTGCCCAACAGCGGCCGCTGCTGGTTTTGGACAACATTTCTTGTTGGGCATTGTACCCATTCTTTCTGTACCCACTTCGGGCGTCCAAATAGTTGCGTCAAGGTGCAGCGCAATGTTGTCAAGCTGGGGAGTAGGAGGCCACGATGAGTTGGCCTTCAGAGGGACCGTCTCTGGCCATATAATTGCTTGATGTCTCAACCGGGCGGGCAGTGTCTTCAGTTTTTTCGGCCTGATCCGTTTTGCTGATACGCGCGTAGGCAGTGCTACAACATGAACGAGCACATGGCTCCTGGACTCTCCTCACGTCCCCTTCGGACTTCACTTGCTGGCTACTGGCGGGCCAGGGCTCGACCTAAACGGTGTTTTGTCGATTTCGTTGGCCGTTTTCGTTTTGACTCCGTTTTGCAGCGAAGGCGGAGCGATTCCCAAACGAGGGAAAACGAACACAAGACGAAAACAAAAGACACGGTTTTGGTTGAGCCCGGTTGCGGGCCTCGAGTAGCCGTCAATGTTACTGCTTGTCACGGCCCACGGGGCACACCCGAGACCATGGACGCACCCAGAGGCCTTTTGCGGGATCCAGCGGAAGCCATTGGCGGCCATGGCCGCTCGGGCCTCCGATGCATGCCAGGGCTGTCCAGGGCTGGACCTGAACGGTGGTTTGGTCATCTCGTGGGCCGTTTTGTACTTCGTTTTCTTTTTCCATCCACGGCGAAGCGAAGGCAAAACGAGGAAGAACGAACAACAAAACGAAAACGACAAGCACCGTTTAGGTGCAGCCCTGAGACTGTCCTGGAATGGCCTCCAGGCAGGGTCGTCAGGGTGGCCCCGCTGCGCATTCCGCTTCGTCGACGGGACGCGCGCGTCCTGTAATTCCTTCAGGGCCCCTCTTTGCCTCGTCCGAGACCTCTAGGGCTCATCCGAGGAGCACCTAGGGTTACGGCAACCAGTGCAAGCGCCTGAACCCCTGACAGCGTGATTATGCAACTCATACACAAGATATGTGCCACCAGGGAAGACAGAGGGGCGGGCCTTCTCAGACAACTCGGAAGGCTCCTCACGAAACCTTTTTAGGGGCTTCTTGGGGGCTTCTGCAGGCCTCCAGGGCGCCTTTTTTGTAAGGCCTTGCGGGAGCTTCCTCGGGCCACCTTGCTGCGAACCGCCACCTTGCTGCGAACCACGGTCTTCCTCAACGACGGGGTCAAGATTTGGGGTGCTTCGTGGGGCGTCTGGAGATTGACAAGCGGTTTTCTTCGGGACATCTTGGGGCCCTGTTGGGCCGTCTTGGGGCTCTCCTGGACTGTCTGCAGGCCCGTTCGATTTGTTTCGGGACGATTGGAGCCTCTGGGGCGGTCTCGGACGCTGGGAAGACCGAAGAACTGCGCATCCAGCCATTTCACAAAACCACTAGACTGTCCATGCTTGTGTGCTTGGATTGGGCGCTCGGGGCTCTCGCGAGGCCGTTTGACCGCTCCGGGTCCGCTGAGTAGGCCCGCTGGGGACATCCAGGAGGCCAGGAGGTTTTGGATGAATTTCTGCAGCTATGCGGGACTGTGCGTCCACAGCTCTGTGAGCACAAGCAAGCCTTGAGGCTTGCGGGGCCCCTCTGCTGGAGGGGGGGCGCCGGGAAGAACATCACAGCCAAGAATGGAAGACCCCGCGCCGCAGGGGCCCCCAGTAGGCCCCAGCAGCCCCCGTTGGTAGGGCAGCCATGACCCTCTGCAAGGGCGTCCAGGGATCCCATGCGGACCGAGGATCTGGAGGGTCTGGCTTGTGGGGGCGGGTGTGCGTTGCAAGCTATGCGTCGCCAGCCCCCTCGCTCGGGTTCCCGAGGCGCCGTTGGTACACCCAGCTGGGGTTCGTCGGCGTCCCATCATGTTTCATATGCTGTCGGCCTCGAAGGGTGAGTCCAGCGAATGCGGGGTTCAGAGCTTGACAGTGAAACATGGTAGTTACGATGGGAGGGGTAATGGGAGAAGTTGTCCTGGTTGCCCTCATCCCTCCCGCCATGAACAAACGTCGAGATGCAACAATCGCCGCCGATGAGCAGATCGGCCGACTCTGCAGAATCTAAGGCATGTTTGTATATCCTTCCAACTCCTGTGTTGATGTCCCATGTGTCCTGTGGCTTGCTCGTGCTACGTCGGCTCTAGGAGAGTATGGCGTCCCCGCGGATGTCTTGTGTCTCCGGTCGCGGCTGTGTTCCTCTGTCTCAGGTGATGTTGCTCCCATTTGAGACGCAGGCTTCCCGCTGTAGAGGTCAGTTGTGAGGCCCGACGCACTTTTACTACCTTCGTCTGCCACAATCGTATTCCCGGCTGCCGCTTTGGCCGCCCGACGGTCATAGGTTTGAGGCCCTTGGGCTAATGTTTTCGCACTTGTGCGGCCCGTGTGGTTATGGGGAAGCTTTTCCAGCTTCGAGGGCGCCGCCTGTTGGGGCATCGTTGGTGCCAGCGCGGTTGCCCTCTTTGCTCGCGGGGGCGCGAGGGGTAGGGGGGAGCCCCGTTTTTGAATGAAAAAACAGTTTTTCATCCAAAATCCAGTTTGTTGAATTCAATTAATTTTTTGACACCAAAGCTCTCCCCCCTGCAGCCAGCTCTGGGCTCAGGAGGGGCCCTGGTCTTCGAGCCATTTCTTCGATGCGGGTCAGAGGGCCCCTGCTTGCGGCCTCTGCTCGCCGCGGCCTTCTTCGCTCCCGAGTCGGCGTTCCTTCGTGTGGTGGCGCGGTGGCTGTACGGTGGTGGCCCATGCCAAGAGACACCCTGCTCGCCTCCAGGGTGCCCTTGGTTTCTTGGGTTTGATGGTTTTGCTGTGGAAGGCGTGACGTTTCCACACCAGAAACCGGTGGACGTCCGGGGATCTCAGGGTTGGGTTTCTCGTGGAAGGTCTCTCGTGGTCGGGCCTCCACTGTAACATGGTAGCGTGATGTCTGTAAGTCTCTCCAGTTTTCCCCAGTTGTCCCTGAGGAGCTTGATCGCACGGTATCGCGGACGTATCCGCCATGCGGCTCGTTCTGGCAGCCGAGTTGTTCAATAAGCATTGGGGGGGGTGATTCGCGTGTGAGGGTAGGAATTGTCTGTCTTTCGAGGGGAGTTGACGAGCTGGATCGCTCGAGGGGGCGGGTTCGGTAGGCGTGGGGGAATCGAAACAGGCCGTCGTGCAGGGTGGCATGGGGGGAGTGCGTGTCAAACAACGCGGAATATTTTCTCCGTCACGGCATCGCCGGTGCATCGCCGATGTGGTGCGAACCCGAGGCTCGTGTGCCATCTTCATGCTCACGCCTCGGCAGGGTCGTTAATCTGCTATCATGTCCTGGGCAGTACTTGCCTTCATACGTAGAAGGAAGGATGCGCATGGCGACGAATTTTCAGGAGTGCGCACACGATGTTCATACAGTGGCTCTTGGACGGGGCGCTCGAGCTGCGAGCGACCGCACGCTGGGAACCCTCATCGGAGAGAAAGCACGTGCATTGGCCGCACGCCTGAGCCAAGTGGTCTGAACAGAGCACATTCCGATTCCCAATGGTACCCATACATTGTTCACAGCTGATGTCGTTGATATGAGCCCTGTGCCTGTTCGCGCACCGACAGGGGCCCGTGGAGTGCATACCAGCGTGTTGTCCTGGCCATCTGTGTTCGGCCACACGGGCGGCTAAGTCGTTCCACCAGTGCTTCCTGGAGGTGCCTTTCGATGGGTCTGCCTGCGTTGACCTCAGAAAGTCGTTGCGCAACATCACTGCGTAGCGAAATTGGGACAACTGATGCGTGACAAGATTGGGCGCAGTCAAGAAAACAAGGCCAGCAAGCAATACACAACACAATTAGGTAAGCACAGCCAAACTTCGTGCACAACCCATATGCGCAGTGCGTCAGGGCAACCTGGGCAAATCCGGGCCCACTGGCGGGACACTGACTAATTCATCCCATCGCATTTAGAAAGCCTCAGGCTGAACATATACGGTGGTGACGTTGGTTAAAACATTCGCCCAGGAGGTTTCGGACTCTAGGGAATTCCTTGTCCCATGATGGCGGTGGTGATATGCATGGCCAATCCACGATTGGACTTCCACGGGCCTCAAGACCCTGGCTTCCTTAACCAATTGCGCCGTATTCAATGCCTCCATCTTTGTTCATCCATTCGCATCTCGAACGACATTTGGACAGTTGCACATTTTGGAGAAAAGACCAGGGATCCGATATAATGGAGAGGGATGATAGGGTAGCTATTGGGGTGCGCGTCTATCACGTCTCTCTGAGTTCGCCCTTTGTGTGTACCCTCTCGCGCCACGCGACCTTTGCTTTACACTCTACAGCAGGGGGTCGTCTGTGCCAGTTCCGCTCCTATCGGCGTGTCTATACAGCTTCCTTCATGTCGCGTAGCCTGTCCTAATTACCCCGATTCCCAGACTAGACAACAGGCCGCCATCGGGGAAACGAAGGATGCCGCGAACGATGAGACGGAGGATGAGGCCGACGAGCACGATGGCCAGCAGAAGGGCGCGTGCGGTGGCTACGAGGAGCTCGCGTGCGACACGTGTTCCTCGATATGTTGTTATGCATGTATGTATATATATATATATATATATATACATATATATACATATATATATATATGTATATAAATATATACAAGTGGCACGTGTGTGCCCAGGCTCATACAAAAAACTGAAGGGGCGTTTGAAACAGGAGTGACATGCAACAGCGAAGTCGCACTCGAGCGCAAGTGGGGTTGCCACACCTTGCGATGTGTGTACCAGGGCCCCCAGGAAGCCTCAGGAGGCCCGATTTGGATACCAGAAGAGGCTCCGGGAGGCCCCAGGATTGTGAGTGGTGTGTGTGTGTGATGTGTGCTCTGTGTTGTGCGTGCTTTTTGTGCGTTGTAGGTGTGGTGTGTGTTATGTTTGTCTAGCGTGTGATGTGCTGGGCGTGATTTGTGTCTCTGTGTGTGCATGTAGTTCTGAGGCTCCAGGAGGCCCCAGGCGGCCTCAGGAGGCCCCAGGAGACCCCAGGAGGCTTCAGGAGGCCCCAAGAGGCTCCAGGAGGCCGCAGGAGGCCCCAGGAGGCCCCAGGAGGTTTCAGGAGACCCCCAGGAGGCTCCGAGGCGGGGTCTGTGGTACCAGAAGGTTGAGAAAGCCCCAGGAGGCCCCAGGAGGTTCCAGGAAGCCCCCAGGAGGCTCCGAGGCGGAATCTGGGGTACCAGAGGGTACGTCGGGGCTCGATTTTGGGAGGATGTTTCAGGCAAAACCGCTATTCTCTGAGAATCGGGGTCAACATTATTAAAATTACCATGTGTGTTTGAAGGTCTTATGTTAAAGTGTTGAAATTCCCATGTGTTTTTGGACCCTGACGTCACGATCTGCGTGAGGGGTGCCACCGAATTTCAGAATTTCGAGGATGTCCCTAGCGAAACGTCTAGAAAAATCGCGAACGCGGCGCCCCACGTACGCATTGATCGCCTCTGAGCTCTACTCCCTCGGAGAGGTGCGTATGAGAATGCTCCCTCGGAGAGGTGCGTATGAGTGTATATATATATATATATATATCACGCCTTCCTTTTCTATATTTCTATCATCTGGGATCCTGCGACCACCCCTCCCTAAACGGGACCCCTCCGGATCCTTGGCCCCAGGGGTACCCTGGACGCCCTTGCAGACGGTCCCCTGTGCTTGCTGGGCTTCTGAAGCCCCCCCCTGCCGCGCTTAGGCAATGGGGCCAAATCGGTCGGGAGGGCGGCAGGACGGCCCCGCGAGAGCCCAGAGAGGCCCCAGACACTCACCAGACGCCCGAAGACAACCCAAAGCAGACCCCCAAGAGGCATTCGAAACGCAAAAAACATGGACTCCCTATTGTTTTGTATGATTTGGGGACTTCGCAGTTCTTCAGTCTTCTGGGCAGACCAGAGCCTCGCCCAAAACTTTACCAAGAGGGATTCAAGGCAGTCCTAGAGGAGCCCCAAGACGGCCCAACAGGGCCCCGAGATGGCCCGAACAGAGCCCCAGGACGGCGCAAAGGGCCCCAAGACGCCTCCCGAATCATTCCAAATCATGACCCGGTCGTTCAGGGAGACCGCGGTTGGAAGCAGGGTGGCCCGTGGAAGCCCCCAGAGGCCCCCAGAAGGAACCCATCAGGCTTCCTGAAGGCCCCGACAAGCCCTTGAAAACTTTCGTGAGACTTACAAGAGACTCTCCCAGGATGAGCCTCCACAAAAAGAGCTGATGATGGGGGCGAGTTCGCAGGGTAGGACGAGAATGAGGAAGAGGAAGAGGAAGCATGAGGTACGGATAGCAAATAGCATTATGACAACGACGATGCCAGAACAAGCAACAACAAATTATCGCGAAATACTATGTTTTACCTTATCGCCTTCTTGCCTGGATGTCAAATTTTGGGGACCAAAGTGCTTGGCGCGAAGCGTCAATGCAATCTTGAATATGATCATATGTAGATAACAGATATACAGATTGGTGTGGCAACTGTGGTGTTCCAGTCTGGCCGAAGACGACGACGCTACTCGAAGACGCAATTGGGTGAGGGCAATAGGGCCTGCTGCGACGCTATTCCACTTGAAGGCGCGATTGCCCAACCAGACGGGGCAGACGCACATGCGCTTGAATACGCTGTTCGAACTGCAGACGCACATGCGCCCGAAGACGCAAAGGCGCTTGAAGACGCTATGTTTTGGGGAAGACGCTATTCCGACTGGGTTCGCTGCCCGAAAGGTCCTGCGGTGCACGCGCCTTTTCCTGCACAGACGGTGCATGGGCGTAGGTGCTTTCCGTGGCGAAGACGCTAGTCTTGGCAAAGACGCTGTTCGTGGCGAAGACGCTGCTCCCAGCGAAGATGCAATCCCAGCGAAGACGCGATTCCCGCCGAAGACGCGATTCCCAGCGAAGATGCTACTCCCGGCGAAGACTCGATTCCCTCACGTCCGCGCTATTCCTGGCGAAAGCGCTATCCGCGGCGACGACTGTATTCCCGGCGAAGACGCTTTTCGCAGCGAAGGCGCTAGTCCAGGCGAAGACGTTACTCCCAGCGAAGACGCCCTTCCCGGCGAAGACGCGATTCCTTCCGAAGACGCAACTCCCGGCATGGATCCCGAATCGTTTTTGCGCCGCCCTTCACACAGCAAATTTCATAACCAGCGCAACAACAAGTAGCCTGGGCCGCGCGGTGCCTCACGCCACATTGGTTGCACCGCCTAGCTTTCGCCGCGTGGCCTGCGCCGGCGCCCCAATATTTGCACCGCATCGTCTGCGCCCGATCGCTTGCGCCACGCGGTCACATAGCCTACATTGCGTACCTTGTTCTGCGTAGCTTACACCGCGTATTATGCACCGTGCATAGATATGTGCATAGTTATGTGTGTTGGCATGTATATGTGTATGTGTTTGTATGTATGTGCGTGTGCATGCATGCATGTGTGTGCCATACATACATGTGTGCATGCATGTGTGTGTATGTGTGTATGTGTGTATGTATGTGTGTATGTATGTATAAATGTATGTATGTATGTATGTATGTGTGTATGTGTGTATGTGTGTATGTGTGTATGTATGTATGTATGTATGTATGTATGTATGTATGTATGTATGTATGTATGTATGTACTTATGTATGTATGTAGGTATGCATGTATGCATGTATGTATGTATGTATGTATGTATGTATGTATGTACGTATGTATGTGTGTATGTATGCATGTATGTATGTATGCATGTATGTATGTATGCATGTATGTATGTATGTATGTATGTAAGTGTGTACACATGTATGTACGCTACATATACACACACTGTTTCTATATTATACTGAACAATAAAAACCGAGAGGATGTCGCCCCCTGCCGCCGGCCCCCTCTCTACCATATGTGATATATCAGAGTCGCGTCGGTGCGTCTCAGCACTGCCATGGCGCATCTGGGAACATCCTGCGGGGGCGGCCAGGGACCATCAGCGCATATAGAGACGTTGGCGTCATCCTAGTGGCCTTTGGCCCATCACGCCACCGTGCCTGGGTTGTGGGTCTGAGGCCTCTTGTCTATGTGTTGGAGTGTCGTGGGGAGCCTCTCGGGGGACTCTAGGAGGCGGTTTGGGCGCCTCTTGGGACCTCGTGGGGTATCTCTTGGGCACCTTGGAGGCCTCTTGGGCGCGTCTTGGAGGCCTCTTGGGCGCGTCTTGGGGGCCTCTTGAGGCATCTTGGTGCCTCTTGGCGGCCTTTCGGGGCCTCCTCGGGACTTCTCGGGGCACAAATATCGAACGTTCGGTTCGTGATCCCCTGCTTGGGCCCCTCTTGGGGCCGTCTTTGGGCCCTCTTGGGCCGTCTTGAGCGCTTCTTGGGCCATATTGGAGCACGTGTGGGCAGTCTTGGGGCCCTCTTGGAGGCGTTTTGGGCTATCCTGGGGCGGTCTTTGGAGCTTCCGGAGCTGTGTTGGAGAGTCGGAAAGCCGAACATGCGAGACGGCCAACGTCCTTCAAATATGTTTTAAATACAAGTCTACGGTGTTTGCCTCTTGGGGCTATCTCGGGAGGCCTCTTGGAGCTTTCTTGGGGCCTGCTTGGACTTTCTTGGGCTGTCTTGGAGCCTTCTTCGGGCGCCTTGAAGCACTCTTGGCCTCGGCAGTACTAATACGGCGTAAGTTGCGAAGGTTCTATGTTTTCGGGGACGCGAGTGTTATAACATGTGCAAGGGCTTGTTGCCTCGGGGGGGGGGGGGGGGCGCAACAAACAAAGCATAATTTGGTAAGATTTGTGGACTCGGGGACGAGAGCATCGCGTCATTTACAATTGATGATGGTCTCGGGGGCGCGAATCTCGTACCCATACGACCACCCTGCGGGTGATAAGGAGGTTGGGGGGGGAGGGGGGCCAGCAGTGGGCAACAGTGGTGATTGTTGCGTTGCCGCTCGCTCTTGGGAGCCTTGGTGTCGAGTTCTTTACGGCCCCCCCGCGTGCCGAGTGCAACAGAAGCCTTGAGCCGAAATCCCTGGATGGTAAGAGAGTTGAGGGGGGGAGGACCCAACCTCTCACTCAATCGATCTCACAATGGACCCCACTATCGCTTTCACAATCGATCTCACTCGATCGATCACACTATCGATCTCACTCGATCGATCTCACTATCGATCACTATCGATCCCACTCAATCGATCTCACTATCGATCTCTCTATCGATCTCACAAGCGATGTCGTTATCGGTCTCACCATCTCACCATCGATCTCAGTATCGATCGCTCGATCGATCTCACAAGCCATGTCGTTATCAGTCTCACGATCGATGGGACCATCGACCCAACTATCGATCTCACTGGATCTCACTATCGATCTCACTCGATCGATTTCACTGTCGATCTCTCTCTGGATCTCGCTATCGATCCCACTAACGATCTCCCTATCGATATCATTCGATCTCACAATCGATATCGCTAGTCATCTCACTATCGATCTCACTATCGATCTCGCGGTGGATCTCACTATCGGTCTCACTAGCGATCTCATTATCGATCTCAAAATCGGTTTCGT